AAAAAAAAAGCAGAACAACAACAACAACAACAACAAAACTCAAGCCGATGTTGATTTCAACTACTGTCAAAAATGATGTACCCCCCGTGCGCATGCGTGTCTCGAGACGTCTGTCGTCTGCTGAACACAACACCATTCATGCAGAGAGAGAGAGAGAGAAGAAGCCAAGCAAAAAGCAGCAGAAACGAAAGGAGAGACGAAAGGAAAGAAAAAACAACAAGAAAAGAAACGGGGGAAAAGAGAACAGAACGCTAGCGAGAGCGAAGAAAACGAAAACAATATTTATTGTTCTCGAGTTGTGAAGAAAGCGTTGCTATGTGCCGCATCTCGTCTGCTGCAAACCTCGGGAAATTGAGAATGAAAACGTTCGTCCTACTGTCATGTGTTGGATAAGTTTTTCTTTCAGCAGGTAAGCCTAATTTTTACACATTTACACATTCCCTTATTGTATTTGTTCAAAGTTTAAGTTAGCACAACAGCAGTCTCCAAACTTTTCTCGCTCGGGCTGGCCTCAGCGATCGGGGTCAAACGGGATGCTCTCTATCGATGTTACACACCTAGGCCTAGCATAGCATCTCTACTGTAAATAGCAACAGACATGGCCGACCGACCGTCCGTGTTCTGTGCATTCGCTCGTGAAAAAAAGTTATTGTAAACGCGGAAAACTCGTGTTATATCAATGAGGGTTTCCATTGTCGAGGGCGAAAACACCCCATTTAATTCCGAGACGCGTCTGTTTAACTTTTTCAGGGTGATAATAACACTTTTGTGGGGTCTCGAATAAGTGAAATACAAAGCTGAATCCATCAATAATAGCAGACGGAGAATCTACACACAACACACACCTGACATTTTTCACTCGATTTTAGAGCTTTCCATTACTTTTAGACTCAATAAGGGATGTTCTCACTGAGATATGATAAATAGAAGCTAAAGGTTATAAACAGGACTTGATACAGTCCTCAAAACTAACATTTAGGCCTATTTAGGTAGAAAAACATGAATTATGGGTTGGCTCTGCTAGATCTTTGTTCTCTTCTCTAGACCTAGATATATATCTATATCTATAGATATCTAGACTCTAGATCTCTAGCTAGGCCTGTATATTTTACTCCATATTATTATTATGATAGTCACAGATATGAGATAGATTCTAGATCTAAATCTAGATCTAGATGAGCGAGTCATCACTCCGCATAGAGTGGTGATGTTTTGGGGCCCTAAAAGTTTCTCAAAGTATAGTAAACTAGGGCGGAGGACTTCCGTAACAAGCGACCACCCTTACAAACAATAGAAAAGTTACCTAACTCTAATTACCCTAACGACCCTACCCCAAACCCTAACCTTAACCCAAACCTAAACCTCTCATCCCTACCCCTACCCTTACCCCAAACCTTACCACCTTACCGCTATCCCTACCCCTCTGTTCTACTCTTGTTTCGTAGCGATCGCTCGTTAAGGAAGTCCTCCCGTAAACTAGGCTATATGGACGTAGGTTTATTTTTAGCCTTTAGAACTCGGAAAGTCAGACATGCTCTCTGCCCATACTTTCAACATCATCCGACTTTCCTAAAAGTACACAAAACAAAAAAACAACAATATTAGGCTAATTTTTAAAAACATCCTTATGATTTCTCACTCCAAGTGATTCAAACCTATAATCGATTCAGTGTGAAGAGAATATGAATGAGATTAAGCCGAGAGATGAAAAGTAATTCTGAGTAGGGCCTGATGTGTATACTTACTTTTTTACTGTCTTTTTACTTCCTCTGGTTAAGGTTTCCTTAGGATGTCGAGGGGAGGTGCAAGTTTTGGTCCTGGCTACGTGTGTAGCGTCTAGATATGTTATTATGTTGTTCCAGGACCTTTTTAATCCCATCCAGCCAGGTCTTTCTCGGTCTTCCTCTTGATTTGAAGCCGGATTCTCGGGTGTTGTAAGCTCTAGCCGCTATAGTTGTTTCTGGGGCATTCTGGTTAGACGTCCCAACCATTTGACTCTTTGACGCTCTTTGAATTTTATTACTGGTGGTATTCCGGTTTGTAGACGTATAATATGTGAAGTGTGTTGACAAAATGAGTTACTTCTCAATATTTTAGCTTTATGGAAATTGATACATCAACTTAATAGATGAAGTTCGTACAATTAGTAAATATGGAATAATAAACGACAGGGTAGATTTGAACAAAATGGAATCAATTGAAAATCTATCAATCTGACCTTGTGTCAGTTCTCAGCAGAT